GGAGTGCCCAGGGGAGATGCTCTGCGGGAGCAGCTCCGAGCCCTGGCCCGGCAAAGCAGCAGTGCCGCAGGGATGGGCAAGAGGAGCGGTGCGGGCCCTACCCTGCCGTTCTGCTGACGAGGCACTTTCCTTGTCATGGAGGTGAGGTAGGGCCCTGGGGGAGCATCCCTGCCGCAGGGGGGGATTGGTGCTTTCACGCCCTGCTGCGGCTTCGTGGGCCGCTTCCAGGAGCTTTGCATGCTGCATGAGCTGGTTCACCTCACACGGGGTGCTCCAGGGGCTACAGGGGGCTCTCCCAGCACCTCCACCATCCAGCAAGGCTTACTGCAGGAGCTGCATTGGCTTCGGGTGGAGGCAGGAGGGATGGGGGGTGTTTCTCATCATAAGAGAGTGATTGATACACTGGTATGTGGCACAGCAGACATGAAACAATGTCCCCTTTTTATTCCCGGAGAAGCCTGGCTGTACCGGGTTTCTTTAAGTTAAACTAATCTTGGCTGTTTTATCATGCCATCGCTGTAGAATGTAACCCTGAGTTTAAAGTAATTGCAGTACTAATTACTCATTGGGATGGTTCAAAATGAGTTAATCCTGGTATCTAGGACATTGCCAGTTATTGCTGTTCAGTCTCAGCTCAGCTGCTTTTAAGCAAAGGTGCAAATCAATGTTACCTGCTTTGGACTCCTACCAGCAATTGTAAATTGCTGTCACTGCTCCTCGTGAGATGGGGCTGAGGCTGCAGGGGAGAGGAATACTTGTCTTTTTTGGGGGGAGAGGGGGAAAAGCCCCAGCTGGGCTGCAGACGCCATGGGGAGAGGCCGTGGGCAGTGCAGTTTCCTTGTGTGCTGCGCTGTCGAGTGGAGGCAATAACAAACCCGAGCAGCCGGGCTCACTGCATGAGAGAAGGGCTACGCGGGGCAGTGGATTTCCCTGCCAGAGACTTGGAAATAAAGGATCCCCCTCTGGGGGAAGTGCCGCTGCTGAGGCTCTTTACATGTGAAATTAAAAGCCAGGGATTCAACACCGGGTGCTGCAGACCTTCACGTAGCAGCCCTGGTTCATCCTGGTTTGCTGTGGAGCTGGATTCAGAGACACTTAGAGCAAGCATCTCCAGATCCGGGGGGCTCGCAGGCAAGCCCCACAACCAGGGGAAAGCCACCACCACTTGCCAGGCTTCTTGGCAGGGAAATGCAGCAGAACTGAGCCCCAGTGGAGTCAGAACAGGGCCGGGAATGAAACTGGGCAGCTGCTTCAAAGCCAGACTGAGAAAGCCTGGTGCGCTCTCAGCACTTGATAACAACCAACCTGCCATCGGTGAAGGGGTGGCAGGGGGCTGAGGCAGTGGCATGGCTGGTCAGTTGGTCAGCATCAGTGTCCATCTCCTCTGTGCAGGGTTCACAGGCCAGAACTGTGAGGAGAACATCAATGACTGCCCGGGCAACAACTGCAAGAATGGGGGCACCTGTGTGGATGGCGTCAACACCTACAACTGCCAATGCCCGCCCGAGTGGACAGGTAACACTGCACCAGCAGCGAGGGTGGCATGGGGCTGGGCTGGGAGGACGAGTCCTGCCCCGGGGCTGCTGGGGACCGCAGATATGCTTGTGGAGCCCACAGGAGCTGGGCAGCACCAGCCTCATGCAGGTGTCCCATTCCCTGGCAGGTCAATACTGCACTGAGGATGTGGATGAGTGCCAGCTGATGCCCAACGCCTGCCAGAATGGAGGCACTTGCCACAACAACCACGGCGGCTACAACTGCGGCTGTGTCAATGGCTGGGGAGGAAACTTTGATGCCGGTGCCATGGCTGCCTGCTTCCCCGGGGCCCCCTGCCACGACCGGGTGGCCTCTTTCTACTGCGAGTGCCCCCATGGCCGCACAGGTGAGGCTCTGTCCCATCTTGTCCTCTGCTCGTGGGGCGCGGTGGCAGCTCCCACGTGTCCCCTGGCTCCTAGCTGAGGTGTTGGTGTGCAGTGACTTGTGTGCCCATTGCCCTTGACGTGCGCCTGCTTTTTGCCACCTAGGTTTGCTGTGCCACCTCGACGATGCCTGCATCAGCAACCCCTGCAATGAGGGCTCCAACTGCGACACCAACCCCGTCAACGGCAAAGCCATCTGCACGTGTCCTTCGGGTTACATGGGGCCGGCCTGCAACCAGGATGTGGACGAGTGCTCACTGGGTGAGTGCTGGGGCTGAGCTTGCACCCGCAGCTGAGGAGCAGCTGGGGAAAGCAGCGGTATGGCCATGAGCATGTCCTGTGAGCTGTACTTGTGTGTTGCAGGAGCCAACCCTTGCGAGCATGCAGGGAAATGCATCAACACCCAGGGCTCCTTCCAGTGCCAGTGTCTGCAGGGCTACTCAGGCCCTCGCTGTGAGATCGATGTCAATGAGTGCCTCTCCAACCCCTGCCAGAACGATGCCACCTGCCTGGACCAGATTGGGGAGTTCCAGTGCATCTGCATGCCCGGTGAGTGGGCAGCCCCGCAGACCCCTGCTCCAGCACTGGGTGCGGGCGGTGGGAGGGCTCTGTGTGCCCCTAAGCTTCAGCATAGCGTTGGTTTGGGCAAGGAGCTGTGGAAGGTGCCTGTGCCGGGGGACTGCAGCGAAAAACAAGAGCTTGCTAAAGATCGCATGCATTCCCGCAGCGATGATGGGACAGGGGCAGAGAGCTGATCACCAATGGAGCCTTGCTGGCTTGGATCAAACCAAGGGCAGGAAGATGTGGGGTGGGCAACCATGGAGCAGCTTGTGCATCAGGTCCCACCACCCGTAGCGCGTCTCCCGAGCCACCCTCATAAAGATGAGGGGACTAAATACACTCTGGTGTCACCTGCCTGTCCTGCGCATTGTGCCGGCCCCGTGCCACAGCGCTGACGCTGGGTCTCTCTGCAGGTTACGAGGGGGTTTATTGCGAGATCAACACGGACGAGTGCGCCAGCAGCCCCTGCCTGCACAACGGCAACTGTCTGGACAAGATCAATGAGTTCCACTGCGAGTGCCCCACTGGTAAGTGGCATCCGTCCCACCGGCTTCGCACCGGAAACAGAGTCATGGCCCAAAACTGCTCTCCTTTCGTTTCAGAGCCCCAAAAATGGGGAGAGGGGGATGAACACCTTCCAGAAGGGGGTTTCTCCCATTGCAGTGAGAGGCTGAACCCCACGCAAGCGATGCTGGACCCAGTCTGGCCCATGGGAGAGGGGAAGGAGGATTAAACCCCATGGCTTTGCACTTGAAAAGGCCCCTCTTTGGGAAGGAGAGCTGGGGGCCGATGGGGGGCCGTGCCAGCGGCTTTGAATGCGGTGTCAAAGTCACGGGGTGGAGCGGAGAATGGGGAGACGGTTAATCTGTGAAAGGAGGTTTTGAAGTTCAGAGACTTCGCTCCTCTAGAGATGTAAATAAGATGCTCTCAATGGCAGGTCGCAGCCCTGCATTCAGGGCCCCCAGCAGCCATCCCCATGGAAACCCGGCGCCCCAGCCGGGACATGGGGGGCCTGCCAGGATCTGCCCAGCAGGGGGAGGAGGCTGGCGGGTCCGGCCGCTGCATGGGGACGTGACTTGTCCCTCTGTGACTTGTCCCTTCTCTTCTAGGCTTCAACGGGCACCTGTGCCAGTTTGACATCGATGAGTGTGCCAGCACCCCTTGCAAGAACGGCGCCAAGTGTGTGGATGGCCCCAACACCTACAGCTGCGAGTGCACTGAAGGTGAGAGGTCCCCGCATCCTGGGGAACTCTGGGGGTCCCAGTGGACAACAAGCCACCTTCTGCCCCAGTATGTGCCAAAAGCCACATTGCCAAATTATGAAGTGCCCACCTCCCCAAGCAAATGCCATGAGGGAGTCCCCAAGCCCCCCGGCAGCGGGGTCCCTGCTGATATGACTCTCAAGTGACAGGACCATCCCTTTCCCAGGCAGTGATCGAGCCTGGAGCCGGGTGTAACGAGCCCAGCGCTCATTAGGTGTGGCCCCACAGCAGCCGCCCCGCCGTGCT